TTGTAATAAAATCTATGTTAATTGATTCACTTTTGTGTACTGATTTCAAATATCATATGCATCTTATTTAAAAACAAAATTTTGATGATCAAAATGTCCAAATATGAGCCCATTTTTAGTTATTTTATTACTGATATAAAAAAACTTGATTTTCCAAGTAACACATTATTATTTATTCTTTTTTTTACCGTTATGTAACTACCAACGACAGAATCACTGCGAATGGTATTTTTGATCTAAAACATCGAAAATGTTATCAAAAGAAGTTTTCTTGGATATGTATAGATAGCACACATGGAGAAGGTTATAATGTAAAGAAAAAGTTAACATGAAGATACAAACGGTTCATATACTTTCGGAGTCTTTTTTATACATGCTTGAACAATGTTTAACGATATATCATTTAAAGCTTGATCGATCGCATTCTCTAGTTCACGTTGTAATTTTGGATTCTTGATTTTGGTTTTCTGTTTGATAATATTTCAGACCAGTTCAACGGCATTGATATCAGGACTATAATCTGACCATTCACATAATTTAAAATTTTGTCGATCACACCATTGCTGGAATCGAGGACTTCTATGCCATTTAACTCCATCAGAAATATATACAAATCCATTTAATTGTCGTAAATTTTCAGATAATACTTCGTTAACTGTATCGCAATATGTATCGCAGTTCAACCAGGCATTAAATCGGCGAAAAACAAAACCGTTCCACCAAATAAAACCAATTAAATTTATGTGTGCGCGTAAAGATGAAATTTCTTTTTTGGGTGTCGGTTCTCCTCGTCAACATCAAACAATCTGTTGTGTGTTTCTTAAACCCACATAACATTCATCTTCAAAAATATAACTATCGATGCGAACACGATAATGCAATAGAGCAAATTGATAACGTTTTTGTTCATTAATATGATTGGTTTTAACTTTAACAATAGACTTGCGAGGACGATAACCAAGAGATAGTCGATAGCGTTGTATCGTGCGTTCGGTAGTGTTGAAGTTTGTGATTGATAATAATTCAGCGGCAGTAGCCGATCGATTTTTTTGTATGGCACGATCAAGTTGTTTGATTTGTTTTGAATCGAGTGCAGGTGAACGATCAACATCATGTCCATAGTTTACATTATGATGGCAACAATAATAATTAATAACACGATATATTGTAGAAATGTGACAGTTAAGAAAACGTGCCATTTGTGCGACACTTTTCGAGCCGTTTTTCCACTCATTAAAGATATACCAGCGCTGTTCATCATTAAGGGTAAACATTTTCAAAAAATCATCGAACAACAAGGATGTCGTCTATATATCATGTAATCAGCTCTGAGAAAGAAACGAATCAATCAATAGTTATGCTGAGGGAGTCACTATACTAATAAATCCTGAATAACCGATGCGATCGAGATAAACTACATACAAATTTATTTTTTTCATTGTCGACAGTGTCAGCCTGAAGTATTTTCATTCTTATCGAACATGTCGCTAATGAAAAAAGTTAATTTGAATATAACCTATCCTGACCGAATGATGCCTAGCCGAGGCACCGGATGCAGAAAGGATAATAAATTGATTACATAATATATATAAAAAGCACTGGAATAAGAATAAAAGACAAAACAAACGAAAATAAATATAAAATAATCGACCATTGAATATTCTACTTTTACACACATAAGAAAGACTCAGAAAGTATATGAACAGTTTGTATCTTCATATTAACTTTTTTCTGTACATTATAACCTTCTCCATGTGTGCTATCTATACATATCCAAGAAAACTTCTTTTGATAACATTTTCGATGTTTTAGATCAAAAATACCATTCGCAGTGATTTTGTCGTTGGTAGTAACTTTCTTCTGATTGACATACTAACTGTAATCGACTAAGGATAACTTGTTCATCACTCCAACAAAAGTACTTGGCAAGTTGGCAATGTGCACAGAAAGCCCTTTCAGGACTCTATTTATGTTTTGAGGGAACAAAGATCGTTTTAGATCATGGAAATGGCTAATTCAGTATTTTATATACAGTTTTACATGCAGAATTACAAAAATTAGTTTAGGAAGGATGTGGGGTGTGGAATCCATACAGAGACATGGCCACCCTCTTCTCACATCTATATCTACACCCCACACTTACACCCTCACACACCCACACCCACTTTCATGGAAAGATCGTTCAAAACAGATTAATGGCTTAATGGTTCGCATCCATTAATCGTGTTAAATTGGCAGGATCCTGGCGGATAAAGTGGAAACAATATTGAAGAGTAGGCTTTGCATACGATAGCGAGTGCTATTCATTGAATTGGTACCTCTGGTGTATTTTTACTTTAACCACACCATCGATCTTCACGCTGTTGTGTTTTGTGAGAATGAAGTTGTTAATAAAAGATGTGGTTAAAGGATGTGAGTGCGAGTTTGAGTCTACAGTTCTTAGGCACCAACACACAAGCCTACAACTACACGCCACACCCACCCACACTCACCCCGTCCACACAGTGCGTTCAAGCGATCTGTTGTGTTATATACGAAAATGCCGGTATTTAGGAGCTCTTAGGATCATTGTTTGAATTATCGAAAATCTTATTCCATCAGTCGATAGAACTCGTTGAGATCTACGTGGAACATGATTAGCGAGGTTGAAACGTGTGCCTAGTCGAATACAGACTGGAAATACTTTTGGAATTTTCGGAAAATCCTATTGCCCATTTCAAAATAAAAGACGGGTGGGTATTTCTCAAATAACTTTTGATAGGAACAAGATAGAAAGCTGTGGTTTTCATCATTGGAAAGTGACCTATTCAGCGCATCGCTTCATATAAAATTATTGAGATGTATTTCATAAATAAGTAGTGATCTATAGTCATCTTGAAAGAGTAGACTGTTGCTCAATGAAGATAGAACAGATCTTGAACTTTGAGGAGCGGACTAAAATCGCTAGCTGACGAACTACAAAACTATATATAAAGCTATGATTCAAAGTTTTAGCGGTTTCGGAGTTCTAGGTATTTTATTCGACGATCCTAGTCCACTTTTCCAACAATTTCTGTAAAAAAAACTCAGTTTTTTTGGGTTTTTTCGTTTTTTCCTGGGAAAATGATACCTGTTTTCAAGACATTTCTTTATTCAACTATTGAAAAAAGTTTCAAAAGTCTAACTTAAAAGTTACTGTCTTATATGGTTCGATGCGTTTTCATCTGCTCTTTTCAACGGTGAAAAACCGCAGCTTTCTATCATTTTTCTATCAAAAGTTATTCAAAAAATATCCACTCGCCTTTTATTTTGAAATGGGCAGTAGTATTTTGGGATTATTTCCCATACAGTTCGAATTATTCAAAATCTGATTTCACCAACGGATAGAGCTTATCGAGTTCTACTTGAAACATCAGCGACGTGGTTGGAAGATGCCTTTGGACGAATCCCCGCTAGAGTTACTCAAATATGGTGCTAACTTCACCTACGTCGCGAACACTACATTTTTGGACAGACAGCAGTTATACATTGAAAGTTCAGTTAACGGAATTGAAAACCCAATCTGAATTTTTCTCGCAATTTTGAAACTAAGACTTATCTAAAACTCAAGATCAGTCAAAACTCACTGCTGTCAAAACCTGAAACCTGTCAAAACGCAAACCTCTCGAAAACCAAGGCTGATCCAAAATCCAAAACTTTTGGATTGGTTTCGGCATCGGCACATATCTATATTCAATGTTCCATCAGCATTTTCAACTGTTATTTTGAGAGTTTCTTTTTGACATTCAACACTTGAACGACACATGAATCGATTTCTTCTCGAAATCTTTTGACTTTCGAAAATAAT